GATTCCCACTGCTACCCACATGCATAGTCCGGTCTGTGTTTACAGCTAAGGGATGAAACACACACAGAGAGACTGCAAAATAAAATATCGCCTTACTACTACTGCATCTAAACGATGAAAGACAGTTTGCACCGTAAAATATCACCTTACACATGATGCCTAAGTACATTCCTGCTGGTCGGTTATTTCTCCGTATTTGCTCTCACTCACTGCAAATAGCATTTGTTACCAAATTGAGGGCCGAACTAAATCTCAGAATTTTCTCCTTAAGCCTGTCATTGATTCCGAACTGTTAGAGCCAGCCATCACGGGTTTCGTTTTGTCCACTTCAAAATGGCGATTTCGGCATCACCAGATTGATTCGGCCTGCTCTCTGTGGACTGATACAATCGGTGTCGTGAATGGAAATCCTTTTGCAAAAGATAAGTGGTGGAAAGGGGAATCAGGCCACTCATCTTCGCTGCCTTCGGATCTTTCGAATCGTGATTTTCGTGGCCTCCTGTATCCCTTATATATCATTCTAAGCATTTACCCTCTGTCTGTATGGAAAACAGGCAAAACTACGCTGTGTATTATCTGTGTGCTACCAGAAGCAGCGAGCACTTTTTTTAATCGATTTTGCCGGCTTTTCGCGGGAATCCGGGGCAGCAAGCTTCCATTAATTTCAGTAAAGACAATTCACCTTTTAACCCTAGAGAAATCTCTTGTAGTTTGTGTAGTAGCAAGTCCGCCAGATCATGAATCTGTTGCGTATCGATAGTAATTCTTCGCGAATTACATAAGCACTGCGACCGTTATAATGACGAGGTCCAGCCGTCGTGTTGAGTTAAAACGTATATGACATAATGGACCAAAACATCTTACCTCACTTCTTATTTCCTACTCTTACTCTGACTTCCATGGTTAACCTGGACTCTATGAATCACTTACATCGCTGTATAGTTGGCGCCTCATGTTATTTGTAATTACATTAAAAAATCAGCGGCTCAAGTCCGTCGTAGGGCAGCCAATCTGTGGAGATTTTGATGGTAGGCTGAGATTGTAGCATGATTGTAGCATACAAGTAATATTAAGAACTTAAGAACTTAAATATGAATAAATACGAGCTGAAGAACTTAAATAACATTAAGAATACAAGTAATATTAAGAACTTAAATATGAATAAACACGAGGGAAAGAACTTAAATATGAATTGATACATATATTCGAAGGAGTCAGTTGTGCCATCAGCTTGCTTGTAAGCAACTCACAAAAGAGGGAACCATCGGAAGCTCTGCAAACAGGCTATATATTGTTATCGGTAGCATATCACCAGCTGAGCTATGTCCCCATGTTCTTCTTAGCAGTCAAGGAGGTGCCTGAAGAGTGGGAAAGTTTTACTATCGGTGATAGTTGTTTTGTTGTAGGCCGAGGATTTGTGTTATATCCAGTCAAATACAAGGCGATTGTCTTCAGACCGTTCAAGGGACAAGTTGTTGACGCTGTGGTGAATCAAGTGAACAAGGTCAGTGATTTTTGCCTTTTTGGATTAGCTAGTGAAAATTGTATTACTCTATCACCACCTTATTCCAAATATAGCCACTGTAGACCGTGCTCTGTTTACGATCACAAGCATTTAGAGCCCTTCTATTCTGTCTGTACCAACGCTTTGTGCAGTTCTTTTTTGAACAGTAGAGTAAGAAGATTGGAATTAAGTGTCATGTATAAGAAGACATTTCACGATGCAGTCTCTCTCTATGCGTTTCATCCCTTAGCTGTAAACACAGACCGAATTATGCATGCGTTTAGGAGTGGGAATCGTCAGTACAGGACGATAACTTTGTTGGCTGTTGCAGACTTTTCAACGAAACT